GAGCAAGTATTTTGGACCCTTGAGCTGGCTTTTGAAACCATAAACACTGTCTGTTTCTGGATCTATAAAGTAAAGACTTCTGTCATAGACTTGTAGCCCTTGCTTCTTGGGAGGTGTTTTAGAAGCTGTTAGAATCAAATGAGCAGATTCAGTTTGACGCATCAATTCGGAATGAGATGAGTGGGTTCGGGGGATATGTATATATCTTTATGTGATATTTGAAATAGTGTTGTTACCTTCATCTTTATGGCATTTATGCTTTTGCAGAGAAGCTTGGGACGGCTACCGAAGCACTTGCTGATTTGAAGCAACTATTTTCATTGGCTGAGAAGTATGGCTATTCTGAGTGGATTCAGTTTGATGCATCAATTGTGCGCGGACTAGCCTATTATACCGGCATCGTTTTTGAGGTTGGACTTTATAGGAAATTGCATCTAAATGAACACATCTTTAAGCCTGAGAGATATTTCTAGTTATTAATAGGCTTGAAATTGGATTCTTTGGAACAGAGAGGTTAGCAAGTGGCTTTATTTATGCATCTGGCATCTGTAAAGCTTTAGTAGTAGCTCTCCATGCACTTGTAGTGAATCTTAGTTTTCATATCATCACACGCTTGAAAAGCTTGAATGTCAAATGGTAAAAAATGAAAGTTGTATGTCTCTCTATGTGTATGATTATGCATATGAAGTGATTACATGGATGTTGTAGGGATTTGATAGAGGAGGGAAATTGCGAGCTATATGTGGTGGTGGGCGATATGATAGCTTGCTCTCTACTTTTGGAGGAGATGATCTTCCGGCTTGTGGCTTTGGATTCGGTGATGCAGTCATAGTTGAGGTGAGTTGAGACTTGAGCCTGTCTTTACCTCCCCACCCCTTAATTTCCATCTGCAAATTCAAAATACCTATAACTTCTCCAGCCTTCTCTCAGTGCTCCATTAATTTTGACTAGCTTGATAGCTTCTCCCCTCTCAGAATGTATGTGTAAATAAGTTTTTGAGAGCATAGATCATGCTATCTATGGGTGTCATGTCATTAAATAGATACTCCATTCGTCCCAAAAAAGAGTCCTATTTGGAAACTGATTTTTTATCCTAAAAAAAGTCCTATTTGAACAAAAGAAGCTACAGAGTATTTAACTATTTATCATTTTATTTAATGTGTATTAAAAAAAGTGTCAAATAAATTTATGTTACATTTAGAGGAGTTGATATTAACAGCCTCTCTACTTTTAGTAGGGGTAAACACCCTCCCCTACTAAAATAGCTGTGTCTTACTAAAATAAAAAATTTGGCACCCTCCCCTACTAAAGTGGCAATAACTGTATCTTACTAAAATAAAAAAAAATGTACATTCATGAAACATGACTCTTTTTATGCGGGACTAGCAGACTACATTTTACTAGTCATATTCCTTGTTTAACGCGGGATTCTAGTGGGTCGTTGTTGTTATACCGAATAGTTTTTCTTTTACTGATTTTTCAACATTTTTAATTATACAAAACTAGGAAATTTAGCTTCAGTCATGCACAATAGCTATACTCTTGAGCTTGAACGCTAGTGATGCGATAATTGAATTGAAGCCCATTTAGTAATGCCACCTAAAAAAACCTTCCCTAATACTTCATTTCAATATCATCTTCCAAAGTAGAATCATTTGAAACTTCACAGCACCTATGTAAAACACATGTTCAATGTTCAGCTTCTAAAGGAGAAGGGGCTCTTGCCAGAATTGAGTATAAAAGTAGACGACGTCGTTTGCTCTCTAGACCCCAATCTCCAAGGCACCGCTTCTTCTGTTGCAACCATACTTCGGGAAAAAGGGCAGACCGTCGATCTGGTTTTGGAAAACAAACCGCTTAAATGGTACGAACTTGTGATGCAATTTATTTTTGAAAACTTAGATACCATCTTTAGGCCATCCACTTTCTTGGTCGGTAGCCACATGAATTTGCAATTTCTGATATAAACTTGCGTTGATAGGGTGTTCAAAAGGGCTGCCCGGATGAATGCGGGCAGGCTGATCTTAGTTGGGAGTGATGAGTGGCAAAGAGGGATGGTGTGTGTTAAGATTCTTTCTTCTGGTGAGCAATATGAGGTCAAAGTGGATGAACTTCAGTAGCAAGGATCTGAATGATATGATGCACTGTATATCATTATTTTTATTTTTTGCTGAGTCCCTGCATTGTTTTTTTTAAAATAAAAAACATGCACAAGTTTTTCTTCTTTTTTTCCCTACTGCTAACTTTTCTGATTATACCTTGATGACCTATTATTTGAAAGAAAAGAAGCTTGAAATGTATACCCATGCATTTTATTTGTGTAAATGATTCTTAGTACAAATGAAGTGATTAAGTTTATTTTTGTGCATATAAAATGTTTAATAGTAATTTGAAAATAATTTTTTGTGTTATTATCTATAAATAGTTTACTTGAACTTGGAATACGTTCACTATTAAACAATTTGGATTTAAGATTGATAGATTTGATGTTGAAAATTCACAATTGTAAGCTGTTCTCCGCTGGCTCTACCAACTGAGTATATTTGAAATTATCAAATGATTATTTGTGTTTGGACCTTTTTCATGTCCAAAGGCTCCTACAATAACTCCAAATCGGTCCTTCCAAATTTTAAATTTATTTATTAAATAAAAAATCACCGTATGAGAATGTTCATATCTCCACTCATGATGACCATGGATCTTAGATCCATAATTAAATACGTGTTTCAATGTAATAATGTTCAAAACTTTATTCTTAAAGGGAGGTTTGGGTGACATTAGTATCCCATGTCATCTTATGACACGCGCCTTGATTGAAGCACTAATGGTGCTCTGTTTGAAAACTTGATGGTCTCTATCTCCTTAATTTCCTGGTAAACCCCCTACTCTGGACTGAACTGACCCCATCCCTCCAATTGCACTCCTCAAAACCTTAGGTGCTCCGGATCATTCTATGACATTGCAGTTCAATATCTCTTGAAATGCAATAATTCTTAAATGACATTTCAAAACTGTATACTCCGATTAGATGGTAAGAAAATAGAGAAAAATGCAAATGTAGATAAGAAAACACACTTTTCAAGAAACTTTCTATCGTTTCATTTGCAAAGAGAACAATAGAATATGACCATAAACCCCACATAAAAACTTGGAAAAATTATCTCAAATAATCTCACCTTTTTGCGCTCTTTAAAAAATAATCCCACTTTTCACTCTCACCGGAAATAATCATACCTTTCCGCACGTGTGCGAGTTTTGGGTCACCGTTAAAAAACTAACGGTCACTTAACAGAATTTTCGAAAAATGCATGTTTTTCGCAAATAAATGAAAGGTGGGATTATTTCAGAAAATTTCTCTCTTTTTCATAATTTTAATTTCAAATTTTAAATTTAAATGTACTTTTATTTTTATTTTTTCAAAAAATAATACCAAATTTAAATATTTTTAGAGTGAAACTAATTATTTTTCAATATTCAATAATCTGGTAATAATTAGAAAATAAAGTATCCTACACAATAGAGCTAATTTATTTACTTCATAACTAACTACATTTTTTGTAAGTTGCATTTATTTTTCTTGAGTGACACTTCAAATTGTTTTTTGATACTATATTATTATTATTTCTTAAAAAAATGGCACTACAAAACTTATGAATATTTTTCGATAGTTCTATATAACCATTTTTTGTGAAACAACATTACAATAGTTGTGAAAATAACACAACAATTTTTTCTCTGAAATGAAACTTTTATTTTTATAACTCACTACATTTTTTGATGTATTTCAATTTTTTCATGTATTGCAATCAATTTGTAAAACATTTTGAACATAAAATTTTAAGAACATATTTTAGTTATTATTACCACAAAGTTTTAAGAATAAAATTAACTTGCATATTTAATGACAACATCAATATTCTTCACATTAAAAAATAGCATAATTACTTCTCTGAAAACAATTGATCAATGAAAAAAACAACAGAAAATATAAGAT